TTACACCGAGGACAGTAATTGGTTTATACACCTTAAATATGAAGTGATGAAAAAATTTAAATGAAGGCAATGTGATGCATTAGGAGCCAGGTCAAAAGCAAAAGATAGCCATTAACAGCTATCAGAAACATGAAGGGTGTTAATTGTTCAAGTAACATCATGCATCAAAAACAAAAAACAAGGTTTCTGCTATTCTGTAATTCAGTTATTTTTTTGTTGTGTATTGTCTGAAAATGTCATGTAAAGTAGCATGGTCAAGACAGAACACATTAGTTTTTATTATACCTTTTTAATGTTTACATTTGCAGGTTTCATAAAGGGTATTGCTTTCTTAAAACTGCAACAGTTTTGCAGTTATTTTCTTGACTAGCTGAATATACTGTATAGTTGTTGATATTTTGCTTTTTTTTTTTTTGTTTACTCAAGAGGAAGGAGCACAGAGGCTTGGCGCGATCTTATCCTTTGCCACTGGATCAGATCATGTCCCACCAATTGGATTTCATCCCCAGCCTTCCATTGCCTTTCACCATGACTCTGAACTTCCACAAAGATTTCCAATAGCCAATACTTGCATTAACTGCCTTCGCCTGCCTTTATATAGCACCTATGGTGCTTTTAAAAGCAACATGGAATTTGCCATCAACAATACACATGGATTTGGCAAGGAGTAAGAGAGACCTAAATGCCAAGATGTTAATATTAAGCCAGGGTTCTTATTGAAGCAATAGATTGCAAGAGATGGTTCACCCAAAAATGTAAATCTACTCACTATTTATTCACCACCAAGTGGTTCCAACCGTGTTTGACTTTCTTTCCTTTGTTAAACATTAAATAAACTAATTTGAAGAACTAGACTTGTAACTATTAACTTCAAAAGTAGTTTTTCAGTGGTTTCAGGTTTTCAGTATTTTTTATAATATAACTTTGTTTGGCAAAAGAAATTAAGTAAACATTTTAAATTAGTGAAGGATAATTAAATAATGGCAGTTTTCATTTTTGAGTGTACTGTCCCTTTAATAATTTTCAGCAATGTTACAGTTAATCTTAGCAGTTCTTGTTTCAACATTAAAGGGCTACACTGTTAGACCTTACCAGGTTTTTTTTACAGTAGAATACTGGCAACACTGTTGCCAGCTACTCACTGTAAAAGTTCGGTTACAGTAAGTAACTGGCAACAGTGTTGCCAGTTAATTACTGTAACTGAACCATTACAGTGAGTGGCTGGCAACAGTGTTGCCAGTTATTTACTGTAACTGAACCGATACAGTAAGTAGCTGGCAACAGTGTTGCCAGTTAATTACTGTAAGAGCAGCAGTGGTGACTAACTGGAAACTGTGTACAGTTAATTACTGTATTGTACTGTTACAACTCACAGCATTATACTGCATACACATTAATAGTATGTCATATATAGTTATTGTAGTGTTACTAAAATTAATCAGTATTCTTAGCTGTTATTTAAAAATAGATGGCATAACATTTTTTCAGACAAATTTATTTTATTGTTTTGGCACCAAACAAATAAATAACAGAAAATGTTTAACAAAATTAAGAAATCAGCAGATATAAATATTGTCTTACATATTACTGAGAGCCACAGGTCTGCACAGTAAGGCTGCGGTCACACTAACGTTTGAGCATGCAAAATTCTGTCATACTGCACTGCGAAGTGGAATTAAACAAAGCAAGAAGTAGAATTAAACAAAATGATTAGAGATTGAAAAAGCAAGCCAGAGAGGCCATGTTTTTATCTTTGATTGGTCTCAAGCAATCACATGATGTGATTTCGCATGTCAGCGTTCTCCAAGCTTGAACTTTCCAATGCTGCAAATTATGAAATTTGTTGCATGAGCTACCATTCCAGGTCTGCAGTACTCACACGCGTATGAATGGAAGTCTATAGGAAGAAAAGTGCAGTGTGCCCGGGACTTTAAGCTGTAACTCTAATTAAACACACCTGATCAAACTAATAAAGGCTTGTTAGAAATCTACAGGTAATGTTGAAGCAGGGTGGGTACT